CAGCAGCAGCAGCAGCAGCAGCAGCAGCAGCAGCAGCAGCAGCAGCAGCAGGGGGGCTGCGGGCGACGTACGCAGGCAGCTGGATCGAAGGCCTGAACCAACTCGGCTTCGATGTTGTGGGGCTGGACCTCCAGGGCCACGGCCGTTCTGAGGGGTGGCGGGGGGGCCGCTGCGTAGTGCGGTCTTTGGACGATTTTGCTGCTGACGTGCTGCTGCTGCTGCGGCTCCTCAAGCTCGAGTACCAGCAGCAGCAGCAGCAGCAGCAGCAGCAGCAGCAGCAGCGGCAGCAGCGGCTGCGGGGCGAGCGGCGAAGCGGCAGGCGACAGAACCGACGCACGCAGCGAACGCCAGTGCAGCAGCGGACGCTGGAGGGCGACACGCATGCCCGTGCTGCTGCTGCTGCTGCTGCTGCTGCTGCTGCAGCTAATGCTGCTGCTGCCCCTGCTGCTGCTGCTGCTGCTGCTGCTGGCAGTGACGGGGCTGTGCCCATGTTTCTCGTCGGGCTTTCGCTGGGGGGCTGGGTGGCTCTGAGGGCGGTGCAGCTGGCAGCAGCAGAAAGGCGCAACAGAGCAGCAGCAGCAGCAGCAGCAGCAGACCCGACTGCAGCAGCAGCGGCGGCAGCAGACTTCACCTACAGCCACGTCTTCCAAGACAACCAGAGCTACATGGAGTGCTGTACGACGCCCGAAGCAGCAGCTGCAGCAGCAGCAACGGATGCAGACTCTGCTGCAGCAGCAGCAGCTGCTGCTGCTGCTGCTGAGGCCCCTCTTGGGCTGCAGGGCCTCGTGCTGCTCTCCCCCATGCTGCAGCTCTCCCGCAGGCGCTACCTGCAGCGGTCGCGGCTGCTGCAGTTTGCTGCTGCAGCATTTGCTGCAGTGAGGCCCCACGCGGTAGTTGTTCCTCCTAGGAAGGTAAGGGCGCTCGCATGCAGCGCTGCTGCTGCTGCTGCTGCAGTGCTGCTGCTGCAGTGCTGCTGCTGCAGTGCTGCTGCTGCAGTGTTGCTGCTGCTGGAAAAGCCTAACTAGACGTTGCTGCGTCGTTGTGCGGTGGCAGCCGCTGCAGCAGCTGCCGGTGGAGCTGCTGGAGTCGCTGTGCGTGCTGCTGCTGCTGCCCCTCTCGCTGCTGCTGCTACTTCCGCTGCTGCTGCTGCTGCTGCTGCTGCTGCTGCTCAGAGCCGCCGGCGACACCCCCACCTGCATGCGTACTACAGCTCCGACCCGCTGACTTACAAAGAAGGAGTGCCTGCGGGAATAGCAGTGCCTTTGCTGTGGGAGATGGAAGCAGCAACAACTCCGCAGGAGCTGCTGCTGCTGCAGCAGCAAGATGCTGCTGCAGTGCTGATGCTGCACACTGTCCACGACCCCCTCTGCGACATCAGCGGGCCAGTTAGCTGCTTCTCGGAGCTCGCGGGGATCCGGGACAGGCAGCTGCTGGCCATAGAAGGGCCCCCGCTTCCTGCTGCTGCTGCAGGGGCGCAGCAGCAGCAGCAGCAGCAGCAGCAGCAGCAGCAGGACGCCAGCAGCAGCAGCGGCGACCCGCAGCAGCACGTGCACCCCAAGCTGCGCAAGCTGCACCCCTACTTCCACCAGCACCTGCCGGACCCCCCCTCCCCGCAGCAGCGCTCCCAGCAGCAGCAGCAGCAGCAGCAGCAGCAGCAGCAGCAGCAGCAGCAGCAGCAGCAGCAGGAGGTGGCGGCGAGCGTGGAAGAGATAGAGAAGCGCATGCAGCAGCTAAGCCAGGCCGGCGAGCAGCAGCCAAAAGTCTTCATTGCCAAGGGGGTCGATGTGCTGCACGACTTGCCCAACGAGCCGGGGCAGCAGCAGCTCTTTCGCCTCCTCGCCACCTGGATCACCTGCCGCTGCCCCTAGCAGCAGCAGCTGCTGCTGCTGCTGCTGCAGCTGCTGCAGCAGCTGCTGCAGCAGGTGCTGCAGCAGGGGCTGCAGCAGGGGCTGCAGCGGGGGCTGCCGCTGCAGCAGCAGGTGCTGCTGCTGCTGCAGCTGTTGCAGCAGGTGCTGCAGCGGGGGCTGCTGCCTGCTGCAGCAGGTGCTGCTGCTGCAGCAGCAGGTGCTGCAGCAGGTGCTGCTGCTGCACAGGGAGCGTTTTATTGCTGCTGCAGTAAGTGCAGCAGAAGCGGTAGCAACAGCAGTGGCTGCAGCTGCAGGAGGGAAAGCAACAACTGTAGAAGCAGCTGCAGCAGAAACAGCTGCTGCGGCCGAAAAACAGCAGCAGCAACAGAAACAGCAGCAGCAGCAGCAGCAGCAGCAGGGTGGCACAATGCAGGGAGGTCAAAGCAGCAGGCGGCGGCTGCTGCTGCTGCCCAGGGATCGTCTTGCTGCTGCTGCTGCTGCTGCAGAGTTCTTTTTTGCTTCTGGGTGTCTGGCTGCTGCTTTTATGAGACTAAGGCGGGAAACTTGTGAGGGTTTTCTTGGCGCGCCCGGCGAAGCTCGAGGGTTTAGGGTTTAGGGTTTAGGGTTTAGGGTTTGAGCTGGCGCAGGTCTCGTCCACTGAGACAGTCGCATAGACCCTTTAAAGAAGCTTCCAAATGGCTGCTGCGGTTTCGCTGCCTCAGTTGCTGCAGCAGCAGCAGCTGCTGCTGCTGCAGCAGCACCTGCTGCTGCTGCTGCTGCTTCAGTAAATGTTCCGTCTCATTTACGAATTTAGCGAAGCTTAAAAGCACACGGGAAGCCCCAGTCACGCACCGGAAGCGCGGCCGTGAGGCCTGCGCTGCTGCTGCTGCTGCTGCTTCCGCTGCTGCAGCCGCCGCTGCTGCTGCTGCTGCTGCTGCCGTAACTGTTGCTGCTGCTGCTGCAGGCAGTCTTTACCGTTTGCTTCCTTCGTTGCTGCATCTTCTGCATACTTTCAGGTGAAAAGCAAAGACAATTAAACGGCGGAGGCCAGCGAGCCACAGGCAAAGGAACCCCCCAGCGCCCGCTCTGCGCGATGCTCACAGAGCAGCCCCAGCTGCTGCTGCTGCGGCGGATTGCTGCATGCTGAGGCTTTCTTTCTTTAAATTTGAATTGTTTTGTTTTCCTTCTTCGTTATTGGCGTTTTAAAACTCCTCTGTAGGTACAGTTGAGGGCTTCAGGTGCGGTGTACGCGCAGCTCGCCGGCCGCAGCAAAGAGCCAGAGCAGAACCCTAGAGAACGGGGCTGTGGGAGCGGGGCCGACTGGGGGCGTTTGCTTCTTCTCAGCGGCTAAAGTAATTACCATTTAATCTTTAATTAGAATTGTTTTCATCATTTGGATGTAGGGAGGCAACTTGGCGGTGGTGCGGCGGCAGCGGGGGTTGTGCAGCACTCTCACTGCAGGGGTTGCTGCTGCTGCTGCGGCTCTCGGTGCTGCTGCTGCTGCTGCTGCTGCTCCTGGGCTTTGTTCGGCCTTTGCAGCTCGAGATATCCGAGCGTTTGGCTAAAAACGAATTATTGCCCTTGATGGCCCGCAACTTCGGTGTCCCCAGGCCCAGTCCGCCCGCGTCGCCGCCGCCGCCGCTGCTGCTGCTGCTGCTGCTGCTGCTGCTGCTGCTGCAGCTGCAGCAGCTGCACGGCGCCGCAACTTTCGCCAGCAACTTCCCAGCCCCTTGCTGCACCAATGGAGGACACGCCGTGCCCCCCAGAGGAGGCTTTCTCCGGCAGAGACTCTCTTGTTGCTCATCTTGAAAGCCACCTCTCCCGAGGGTCCTTCAGTTCGCTGTACACAGCAGACACGGGGGCCCCCCGGAGCTCGGGGGGCCCCCTCAGCCGCGGGGCTTTCTGGCGGCCGGAGAGTGAGGAGGATCTGAGTGACACGGGGGCCTTCCCGCGTCTGTTTTACCTGCAGCGGCCGCCGCTGCAGCAGCAGCAGCAGCTGCTGCTGCAGCAGCGCCTGCTGCAGCAGCAGCAGCAGCAGCAGGAAGAGCTGCTGCTGCGGGAGAGGGAGCTCGAGCAGCAGCGGCTGCAGCGCGGGGCCGAGGCCCTGGCTCGGCGCTGGCGGCCCTCGGGCTTGGCAGTGACCCTGGTTGCTGCGCTGCTGCTGGCAGCAGCAGCAGCAGCAGCAGGGTCCCTGGGGGGGGGCCCCCGCTCGCGGGGGGCCCCCCCGCTGCAGGGGGCCCCCGCTGCTGCCCGCCGCAGCCTCGCCAGCCTCTTCCAAGGGGGGGGCCCCCAGGGGGCCCCTGGGATCGTCCGCCAAGTCGTCTCCAGCATTGGGGCTTATAGAGCAGCCTGGGCAGCAGCCCCTCCCGCAGTTCGCAGCGCCTTTGTGGACTTTTATTGTCCCAAGAAGGAGCTCTGGGCGAGCAGCAGCAGCAGCAGCAGCAGCAGCAGCAGCAGCAGCAGCAGCGGCGGCAGCAGCGGCGCCAGCGGCAGCAGCAGCGGCGCAGCAGCGCCGCAGGACGCAGAGGGGCCCCTCTCGCCCTACGAAGAGGTCGTGGAGGCCCTGGGCGCCTGGGGGCCCCCCTGGGGGCCCCCCGGGGGGCCCCAGGGGCCCCCAGGGGGGCCCCAGGGGCCCCCGGGGCCCCCCGGGGGCCCCTCGGGAAAAGAAGACTTGCGCTGTTTGCCGCTGCTGAAGGGCCTTTTAGATGCTGCTGCTGCTCGGCTGCTTTCTCTCACGGAAATTGATAAACATAAAGAACATATTGTTGCTGCGCTGCCCCCCATAGAGGCCCTGCATGCAGAAACAGAAAAACTCCTCACTTTCCAGCAGTTCCTGGAACTCCTGCATGCGGGCTCGGGGGCCCCCCCGGGGGGCCCCCAGGCCCCGGGGGGCCCCCCGGGGGCCCCCCAGGGGGGGCCCCCCGGGGGCCCCCAGGGGGGCCCCCAGGGGGGGCCCCAGGGGGGCCCCCAGCGGGAGGGCCCCCGCGGGGGCCCTGTTGAGAATCCACACGAGGGCCTGCAGGAAGTCCCCGAGTGGGAGCCCCCGGAAGCAGCTCTTGGGGGGCCCCCGGGGGGGGCCCCCGACTGGGGCCCCCAGGAGGCCCCCTATGAGGGGCCCCAAGAGGTCCCTGGCCGGGGGGCCCCCCGCGCCCCACACGGGGGGCCCCCAAAGAACCCGCACGAGGGGCTGCAGGAAGTCCCCGAGTGGGAGCCCCCGCTGGTGCCCTGTGGGGCCCTGGGGGAGGCCCCTAGTTGGGGGCCCCCGGGGCCCCCCGAAGGCGTAGTACCGTCTTTGGGGGGCCCCCAAGAAGGTGTTTACGGGGGCCCCCCGGGGGGCCCCCAGGGCTGCTGGGGAGGGCCCCCCGGGGGCCGTCCTCCCTGCGGGGGCCCCCCGAAGTCCTCGGGGGGCCCCCCCGAAGTGTTTGGGGGCCCCCCGGAGGCTCCGGGGGGCCCCGAGGACGGGGCGTCGTGCGGGGCGCCCTCCTGGGGGCCCCCCGGGGGGCCCCCCGGGGGGGCCCCCGGGGGGGCCCCCGGGGGGGCCCCCGGGGGGG